TTAAAAATATTAACAAGAACTATAACATCTCAATACTAAAATAACTTATTTATTTACAAATTACAAGTCAGATTTGGTTCGATACATAATACTGATCTCATGTTACGATGCTTTCACGATACATTAAACAAAGCCAAAATAAAATTAAAATTGTACTTTTAAATCATTACTTCTAAGATACACGATAAACCGTTAAAAAAAGGACTGTTCATTAAAATGCTAAATCTGGCATTACAGAATTATGTTAGACACATATATGCTTGCGGTCTGATGTGCCTAATCTACAAAGTTTTAAATATTGTATATTTTTAAATAATATGTTTCAATTCCAAATGTGTGACCTTCTGGGTTTACCATATTTGATGCAAAATTTTAACTTCTTAAACTTCTTCTATCCCGATATATTGTAAAACGATATATTATTACAGCCCTAATAACATATAAATCCATATATTCTGAGGAGGACTATCAAGTATGTATGAATAAAGCAGCATGAAGTGTGTTTGACCTCTGTAAATGTGACGTGTCTCTCGGGGAACATGCGGTTGTTGACATGACGAGCTCTGAGAGCTTTCACCTGCCTGCGACGCCATGAACCTGCATCAACGCGGGCAGGGGACGTCCGTCCATGGGGGGTCATGGCAAGTGTGTGTGAGATGGACGTTCAGAGCGTGTACTCGAACCCCACGGGATCTGCAGCATTCTTTGCAGCTCGCCAGACTGCGAGGCGCTATCAGCGATGGAAAAATATCTCCTGATGTGGCGTCAAGTTTCCCGTTATCTGATGGAGCGCTGGATGATGTGCCGGGACACAGAGGCCTCTGCTGACACTCTCATGACGACAGGACACAGTGGAAGAGAGACCTGCAGTGAGAGAGAGAGAGACAGGCCACTCATGTCTTTATTCTCTGGCCTGGACTGCATTCAACTCAAAGTACAAAGAGAAAAGGTGCTAAAATTATTATACTGTATGAGGGTCATTCATTCATTCATATATATATATATATGGTTTGAGGCTGTTTGCAAAGAGACATTCATGATTTTTATACTCTGGTATACTATTTCTCTCCATCTGAAATTCTGAAGCATCTATTCTACTGCAAATTAAGTAATCTAAAAAGAGACTTAGCTTTAAAAATGTATCAGCAGATGAACCAGAGATTATAAAAATGCATTTTCACATAGTGTACATGGAAAGTATTAAATCATAGGGCGTGTTTTCTTGTAGACGAGAACATTTACTCCAACTTTTTGGGGTTATCTAAACATTTTAAAGTTCTGACTAAATCCAGACTCGTTTCGTGAAAAACTCTCGGAAATGTTCTGAACGCCCCCCATGAATTTCATCAGCACAAGTCATTAACTTTCAAACCTCAAACTCATTTGTGGGAGCTCAAATCCTCCCTTCATTAAGTGAGGACATTCTATCGTGAACAAACATCTTTAATTAAAACATCCTCCCCATCTGATCCGCACGTTTGATTCAGACGTGATTCTCAGAGGTGCCGTGAGAGTGACGGATGATGGGACTGAAGCCTGTGTGAAGTGGTAGAGCCACGGATGGGCCACTTCTGGTCTCAGCCCAAAGGCCCAGATGTTGGCGTCAGCGCTGGCTAAATTACCAGTCAGGACGGCTATCTTTCTAATGGACTCTGATAAGAGAATAATCCAAACGGAGGCGCTTTAATGACTTCTGCTTTAATTAGTGACAGTATAAAAGGTGATTTGGTCTTCCTATTGTGCTCAGATCTTTTGTGTGAGTGATCACGAGTTTTGGACTGCTGCTATTTGCATCGTGAAGCTGTGTGAAAGAAGTTTTTATGAGCTCAGGACTGAAGACTGAGCTGGGAATTAACTAAATGAAGCTAAAACTAAAGTCAAGGCCAATGTCAGAGAGTTAGACATGAAAGAAACGATGAAAGATTCTCACATGTTGAGTCAGTCTGGTAAATGCCCTACTGTTTGGTATTTTGAGTTTTGAGAATCAAACTCATAATTTGTACAGCTATAGAAGGCCTGAATTTTTTGGGGGGGGGGGGGGGTTACAAGCCCCCCTA